CTGTGGAATTGTCAAAGAGTATGGTTCCTTCCTTGGTTTGCATAGGAACAGGTTGCACAAGCAGCGAAGTGGACTGCAGAGTGTGTTGAATGTCTTCATCTTGAGCCTGAGCCAATGTCGTGGCGGCAAGATCGACGGTAGGCAAAGACTGGAGGGTGGGGTTGACGCGTCAGAGCGTCGGCCACGGGATTGTCGACACCTGAGACATGACGTATGTCAGCAGTGAACTGCGTGACAAAGTCTAAGTGTTTTATTTTCCGTGGTGAATATTTGTCGCAAGCAGAGTTGAAGACAAATATAAGAGGCTTGTGGTCAGTGTAGACCGTGAAAGCGCGGCCATCGGGTGTGTGCCGGAAGTAATGGATGACTAGGTAAATGGCCAGCAGTTCTCTGCCAAACGTGCTGTAGCGGGATTCTGCTGGCTGCGGGCGCTTGGAGAAGAACCAGAGGGGTTGCCGTTGCCCACCAGCATGTTGTTGGAGGACGGCACCTACCACGACGTCTTAGGCATCAGTCGTAATAGAAAGGGACGCAGTCGATTCGGAATGAGCGAAGAGGGCTATGTTGGAGTTAGCATCCTTGAGCTCGGCGAAGGCTGTCTGTGCCGTGTCAGGGAAAGCGAACTTAGGTTCATTCCCTTTGAATAGATCAGTCAGAGGCTGCAAGAGCGGAACGCAGCGCGGAATGAAGCGTCGATAGTAGTTGAACGAACCACAAAATCTACGGAGGTGCTTGAACGAAGTCGGAGCTGGGAAGTCCTTGATTGCCTAGATCTTACCAGGAAGGACTTCGAGAAAAGATGTTGAAACGAGGTGGTCTAGGAATTCCACCGTCGATTTTCCGAGTTCTCACTTAGTCGGGTTGACTGTGACACCGTGTTGGATCAAGCACTGGAAAAGAGTTTGAAGATGCTCTAGGTGCTCTTGTTCCGATGAACTGGCTACTAAAATATCCTCGAGGTAGGAATAAGCGAAGTCCGCGCCATGGGTGTCATCGTGGATGAAGCGTTGGAAGGTTTGTGCGGCGTTGCACATTCCTGGTGGCATTCTTAAAAAGTTAAACAAGCCAAAAGGTGTGATAACGGCTGTTTTAGGGATATCATTTTTCTTCCACAGGTATCTGGGGATAGGCGCGAACCAGATCGATCTTGCTGAAGATCGTCTTACCTGTGAGGCATGTGGTAAGGCCTTGCATGTGCGTAATGGGATACCTAGCTGGGACGTGTAGCCCATTGAGTGCGCGGTAATCACCGCAAGGGCGTCAGTCACCAGATTTCTTGGGGACCATCTATAGGGACGAGGACCAAGGGGTATCGGAAGGGCGGATTATTCCAAGTTCAAGCATGTGCTCAAAATCCGCCCTAGCTACCTTTAGTTTCTCGGGCCATAGTCGGCGTGAACGGCATGAGACGGGTGGGCCATTCGTCCGATGTGGTGCGTGTCTTGCGATACCACGTGCAAAGCTGCGTTCATTGGCTGAACGAGCTTGGAATACTGAGAAAGAATGTTGGTGTAGTCTGGCCTGGTCTGGGGAAAGACGTAGGTTGGTGTTATATTCATTCATTCAGTAATTATACACGTCAGCTAGAGGTGAGAAACACCTCAGCTACTGTGCCGCAATACATAAATGAAAAAGGAAAATAAATACAAAAGTTGAATGCCAGCTGAGCTACCAGCAACGGATAGGCATCGTTCCGGTAAGCTACCAGCCGGCTACCAAGCAAAAACAAAAATATTATTGTGTTTTACGCTAAGAAATAAGATCGCAGGTGGAGAGGGAGGCTAAAACGGAGGGGAGCGACAAAGAAACTCACAGCAGGAACGCCACTGAGGTCGGCTGCTTGCCATGTCAACAAGTGTATCCAGCCAAACATGTTCACCGTCTTTTGGACACCAAGCAGGGAGACGTGACGCTCCAACCGAGGCCAGCTCAGAAGTGAGGGCCTTCATTCCTCTTGCCCAAATCATCCCTTGGCCACCCCTCCTTTTCTTCCATCCACATCTCCGGTGAGCAAACAACGCAAGGCGCCGGCGTCGGTGGGCTGAGATGAGTAACACGTGGCCGAGATATCGGAGCCTGGTGCGTGAAAGGACGGTGCTGAGCGGTTCATTTCCTTTTCCTGTGCCATAAACAAGGCATCGAACACGCTCGTTGCTCACGCGGTGTTCCCACCAGATGTGAGCTAAATTGCGAAGGCACCGATGGTCGAACGTAACTAGTCTCTTCATGTCCGCCGATCTTAGGGGCCAGGTTTCACAACCGTACAGTATGATCGAACTTATGAGTGAATTTTTCGTCAAACAATTTCTTGGTTTTATATATGCGATATTGGCGTTGATGCCACGTACACTACGTTTCGTTACAGTGTAGACTATCATCTGCCGTTTCATATCGACCAATAGGTCAAAATGTCTGAGGAAGTCAATGCCGATTATGATAATGGGGACTGCAACGACGGTGAATACCCCGCAGAATGTGCGCCGAAGACCTAGGTCCAGGGTAAGCGACCGATGACCGTAGGTGGATATTGGCGTGCCACTGGCGGCACCGATGCTTGTCGACAAAGTATCGGTAGGCTCACCTGGTATGGGGGGAATGACGCTGACTTCCGCTCCGGTATCAACTAAGAACTGGGTCTCGGAATCATAATCCCTAAGGTAGATGAGACGACTATAGGCTTTGCCGACTCCGTTAGTCACCATTACTGGCCGGCCTGAAAGTTTCCCTGCTTGGCAGAGGAGAATCTGCATGGTTGCTCGACCTTACAGGCTTCATTACCAAAACGCGAGTGGTAAAAGCAAAAGCCTGAATTTTTACACTTCGTGCGACGAGGTGATGGGCTAGTGCGACTGCACTGCTTACGATCTAGGGAGAGTTTCTCGACTTGGAGTTGTAGTGACGCTGTTTGTGACGATAAAGCGTCGATTGCTGACGGCTCAATAGTCGCGGATGTCGCTGGGCCTGCGACGGGGCTAAGTCGAGCGAATGTCTTAGCTTCGTTCGTTGGCTGAAGTCGTTCGATGACACGGTCTGCTAGTTCTGCAACTGCTGCGAGAGGCAGGGCGGTTGCCTCGGCAGGGTTGGCTTTCGTGTTTTCCGAGAGGCGTTGTATCCGCATTTCGTGGATAATTCCAGCGTCCATGCTGGATGTGCCTAGGAAATTTTGCATCTTTGGCAATAAGGCTGAAGGCATCCTGTCCCCTAGCTGCAAATCTCTAAGCATTTGCTGCAATCCGACCTTGTCAGAGGGTGTAATTTGCTGAATGATCGTCTACTTTAAGGTCTCATATATCGCATCGGGAGGAGGGCAAGCCATGATGTCTCTCACCTGGGAGGATACACTTTGCAGAAGTCGGGACATAAGTTGATGATAGCATTAGCAGAAGAAATTGTAAAATTGGAACAAGCGGATTCTAAATGGGCATATCATAACAACGGGTCATCCTCCCAAAAAGATGGGGTGGCTAGCTCTACATCACTAACCATGTACGTAGATTGTTTATCATCAGCACTATTCATCATGAGAAATGAAAAAGTACATGCGGCAAGTGAGAAAACAAAACGATAGCGAGTAATGATTCAAAGTCACTGGAACGAGCTCACCAGAATGAAAATTCAAAGTGACGGACAGCGTGTTCTGGAGGGGGGTCACCAATTGTTGCGTGGAGCCTGGGGTAATATTCGGTTATCAATGACACTTAAGAGGTGTGTCAAATACGGGACAGCATGGTAGTTGGAGGCGACTAAAACCAAGGTATATTGTGCAGGCTACAAAAATAGGGAGCGAATCAACCAGAGCGAGAAACGGTGCAGCAATGTACTCACCAAAACGTTTTTGTAAAAACGGACGTGCTGTCAGTAAAACAAGTGGACGTTTTGAAGATCAAAACAACCGTAAGATCCAATGTTGCACAATAGTGAGACAGCGTGTTTTCCGGTACACTACACAGGTCCATTGTTTCGGCGTCTAGTTCAGCTAGCATGGACAGGTGGCTGATTCTCTGTACGGCCGCTTGCAACTTAACGGATTCCGTGATCAGACGTCCCAGCGGTTCGTAAGGATGCATCAACGCAAAAGCACGGCGTGCAGTGATCGTTTTATGGAACGTGACACAAGCTAGCATTGTTGACAAGCACTGACTCCCAACAATTTTCAATGAAAGACCGACACTGACTGTCAGGTAGTGATTAACACTACTGCCCAAAGAAATGGAAGCAAAAATATTCCCGCACAACTAAAGAGTGATACAGTTGCACACTTGCTTTTGAACAAAGAATAGGACAAAACTTTGACTTGGGTTAACAATGTGAGCCACACGAATTAGTTCGAATGGTTAGACAGCACTGAGTATCGTTAGTAGAATTGCTTCAATAATGTGTATGCACAAGAATGCGTGATAGAAGCAAAAGGAATAACACTGGATGCATCAGCGGCGCGAAGAGAGTTCGGCTGCACGATGAAGTGGCAGCACACTGAATGTGGAATAGGTGACTAAAAGGCAACCTGAAATTATCGGTTTAGGCGGAAACTCGAGGGAAATATGACCGAACGCCCAGGTATGAAGGTAAATAGTTAAATTTCTAACAAGAAGTCGCTGTTCTAAGATGACACTAAAACATTTTATTCCTCCTTTTGTTGCATACAATTCTCTAATAAAACCAATTTGGTTAAAATTTCCGATTTTCATAGCGCTGCTTTTACTGTGTATAAAAAAGCGGGCGCCAAAATAACAACGGATAAAATATGATAGCTTCCAATTTTTGAACTGTACTTATCAGGATTAGCGGATTGTTAGCGCAAGATAATCCTAGCTTATCGAAGTTCATTTAAATATGATTCATTAACTTTTCAATGTACTAGCATTCCTGCCTTACTTGGGGATCCAATGTCTACGACAGGCCTTCATCAGATTAGAAGTAGTTTAATGTCAGTAGCCTGATTACTGTCAGTGGTCTTTAGGTCTGCGCTTATGTATTCGATATTCACATTTTCATTTCAGCTTTATGCAAGAAGACATGCATAAAGGAGCTTACACGTGTAATTCTCTAAGTGGGCCACATAATGTTGTCATTTTAGGAGTTAAAAGACTACGGTATGCTGATTGAAGCAAAGGATCGTATTATATCAGAGCTTCAAAAGGTAAACTTTTTGCTACTTTTAGCACTGAGTACGACAGAAGCTCGAAAAATGCAGTAATGAACTGGATGCTACGCTGGAGCAGCTAGAATTAGAGAAAGTAAGTTGCAATTCATTAACTTGCGCTCAACGGTACGTCACTGTTGTTACCGAGTGTCATTTTAGTCAAGTCAAGTAAGAATAAGCTTCGGCAACGGTGCAGCTTTAAATTCATAATTGTACACTAACAGTGGGAATGGAAAGAGAAATTAAATGGATGCTTAAAACAAATAAGTTACTCAATAAGAAATGTCTACGTACCACTGTAACAAATAAATACCGAACATACGGGGAATATCCTTTGGCTCAGCAGGTAAGCGTGATAAATAAGCAAGACGGAATATTTTAAAATGCAACACAAGAAAGTAGTACTCTATATTTGCAGCAAATAGTTAGACGGGACAGATACTGTTTTCGAAAGAGCACCATGTAGAGGACGGACAGAATCGCTTATAATTTTGACGAAAATACGGGTATAACGGCCTAGATTATTGGTTACCGAACTACAGTTCGCTGGTCGGATCTGGCCCACCGAATGTACCCACAGTGCTTCATAAAGCGCATGGAATACGAGACTTCGTTAGACAACCCATACTTTAGCATGAGCGATGTCATGGTTGTTACATGCGATACGGCCCTATCGTACTACCGGTGACTTCACATCGTTGGACATTGATGTCAGTGATCACGCATTAAACCCATTCATCCGTGTACCCTACTGTGTTGCTGTTTGCTTCCCATTTGTGCCATCAAAATTAGGTTATTCAGCTCCCTTGAAGTATGTGTCATATAAAACCCCGCACATTAGGATTCCGTTAGTTTTTGTGTGTCATGTTTAAGTCATAACCCCAGTATAATTAGTTGCTAACAGAATGTTCTATAAGTGCGCAGTATAGATGTTCGAGTATTTCAATATTACTGATTGCTCGTAACTAGTAACGTTGTCCGGTTCCAGCCTCGTTTGTTGACTTGATTCTAGTGGGAACATTTTACGCGAGCATTCCGTACGCATTGCCACTTACGTATACCAAGAACATAATTGAGTACTGGGGGCGCATACCAGCCCACCGACTCATGTGAGGCGCCTTGTTTAGGTGCCGGGATTATGGATGGAAGAAAAGGAAGGATGGCCAAGCAGTGACTTGGTCAAAGGAAATGAATGCCCTTACTTGGAAGTTGGCCTCAGATGGAGCCTCTCGGCTCCCTGGTTGTGGACCGAATTACGATAAACACGTTTGTCTCAATACACTTGCAGACATGGCTAGGAGCCGACCTCAGTGGCGTTTGTGTTGTGAGTTTGTTTGTCCCTCCCTATCCCACTTGGCCTCCCCCTCCAACCACGATCTCAATTTTTAGGCATAATATAACTCATTTTTGCGGCATAATAGCCGGCTGGTAGCTCTCCAGCAAGATGTCCATCCGTTACTGGTAACCTAGCCCGGGGGTATCTCTGTTTCATCTTTTTTATCTTTGCTTTCGCATTGCGGCATAATAGCTGAAAAGCTTTCCACCTGCAGGTAATGTTATAATGATGATTATGTTGAGTACTGGGTCAAGAATTCATTTCACATAAACTCTCATCAAAAAGAAACATGTATATGACAGCAGCGCTTGTCGTTTAAAGGCGATTATATTGCTAATATCCAAATCCGAAGCCCGTAAGATTTAGTTGACTAAAGGTACAAGATATGTATATGGCTGGCGGCAACAGGTATCGGGTTTGACTGTCACCGGGGCAACCCACAGGATGCCTACGCCTACAGAGGTACCATGCGTGGCTTGCGCTGCACCACCCACAGTTCCAACCACACACCCTATATTCAGTGTAACCCGAAGAAATAAGACCGGAAGGCATGTAGATGAGAGTCACGTTTCATCAACGGAGCCGGCTCACACTCCTTCACAGGCAAAGACAAGCACACTGTATTTGGGAATCAAGCGCACTTAAGGCGTTGGTTGAACCGTAGTCCGCTCCACACTGAGTGTATGGAACCACACTTTGATCTTAACACAGCCACAAGGACCGTGCACCCCGTCCCATCCAGCAACGTCCAACTGTCTCCTAGAGCCAGTGTGGAGGAGGTAGTGGGTAATAGACATGTAGGCACCTTGTCAACATGCACATCAAGTGCAACCACACTGGGAATATCAAGCAACAGTCAATCACTTGAGAGAAAGATAAACGAGAAAATAAATCGAGTACTGCATTAAGAAACAGTGATATAACTTAAATAAGTAAGTATATGAAATAAGATGTTTACCAACGAATATGAGGTAAGTTCACGAGGTCAAGAAGTTCATTTTACGGAAATGCTACAAACAAGAAAATGTTATCGAAATAACTACGAGTGGATTTAGCGACGTGTGCAAGTGTATAGAAGAGAGTATAAGTAAGCATTTATATGGGAAAGAAAAGCATTAGGACAAAATTGAAAACCCACCACCTGAAAGAAATAGACTTAGCATGTAAGCACGCTGTTAGTAACTCGAATGCAGCGTACGTACAAAAGCTGCGCCGGTTCTGCCTACGTTCTCTGCAGCACTCGTCGTCGCTTTGGTAGTGGTCCCGAGTGGCCTCGCTCATGGCTCACTAGGCTTGTCTGACTCAGGCACTCGCGACCGCATGTGCTTCGGCACCATGCGCTCGATGTCGATGGAGTACAACCCATCGGTGCTTGCCGCTTCAGCAATTGTCGCTTCTTCTCTGCATGTATGAGGTCTTTTTTCTGCTCTTGGGCAACTGCCTTCATGATTAGATCGCGCCATGCAAGCCGATCAACCGTCTTTGATTCCCATGACCTGCAATCAAGATTAGAACGTGTGAGGCTCACTTTGATCATGTCCTGGTAACGTAACTTTGGCTTCCCCACATGCCGATTCACAATAATCAGCTGACTGAATAAGAGTTGTTTCGGTATCCGCGTTGAATCTATACGCCACAAATGACCGAGCCACCTCAAGTGTCTCAATAAAATTATGCAGTCCACTGCATACATCCCACTTCGGCGCAACACTTCCGTGTCTGCAACACTGGCGCCCCAACTGATGCGCAAAATTCGTCGCAGACGCTGCTGATGGAGCCGCTCGAAATATCGCACATCCCGACGGTACATCGCCCACATTTCACTGCCGTATAGAAGAAAGAACAGCAACATGGATTTGTACACCATCAGCTTCATGCGAACAGTAAGCTGACGGATGTTCCACACTCGGTACTCAAGCTTCTCGAATGCCGGCACTACCTTCGACACGCGGATACGAAGCTCACTGTGAAGATGCTGGTCAGTCGACATCACACTCCCAAGGTAGCTGAAACGGGAGGTGGTTTCAAACACTTCAGCACCAATGCTGATTTGCGGCAATATTGAAGATTGCACCTCCGGTGAAGGCTGAATGACAGATAGTTTTGCTTGTGTTGATGAAGAGCCAGAATTTGGTCGCTATCGAAGCAAGAGCACTAGTCAAGTGCTGCAACTCTTCCGCGCTGTGTGCAAACAAAGCACAGTCGTCAGCGAACAGCAACATACGGATAGTTGTCTCACAGATTAGGGTTCTCGCACCGAAACGAGAATGTTCAGCAACCCACCATCAATACGGTGCTCCACACGAACACCGTAAGCACAAGCGGCATCAAAAGCACAAGATATCTTTGCATGAAGATATATATTAAACAGGGCAGAAGCTAAGACACAGCCTTGCTTCACACCAGAGACAAATGCAAAGTCATCTGAGGTCTCTCCACCTAACTGCATAATCGCCCGTATACCGCTGTGCAGAAATTCAATTAAACTTACAAACTTACGCTGGCAACCAAACTTACCTAGCACCAGCCACAATGCCTCGCGATTCACCGTATCAAAAGCCTTGGTACGATTAACAAAATGCGAGTACAATGGCTGGTGTCGTTCCCTGCACTTCTCTTGCAACTGACGAGCCGCAAACACCATATTTATAGTGCTGCGACCCCAAAGGAATCCACACTGCTCTTCCGCCACGTTAGGTTCCACAACCTGACTGACGAGGCAGTTGAGCAGGATACGGGCCATCACCTTGACCACACAACCCAGCAAGTTGATGCCACGAAACTTCGTGCAACATTGCTTGCTCTCATTGACCTCGTACAATGCTAGAATAAGAGCATCTTTCAGCTCAGGATGCACCTCCTCTTCAATCCATACGCGCTGCACCAAGTGGTGAAGCGCAGTCAACAACGCGGGTCCGATGTGTTTCAATACTTCAGGCGGGATTCCGTCGGCTCCAGCACACTTGCCGTTTCGTAGCTGAGCAAGTGCTCTCTGCGTCTCATCCAGTCTCGGCGTATCCGCCAGATCGGCCTTCACATCGTGCTGCTTCAGGCCCTTCAAACTAGGCCAGTGGATCTCTGAACTGTTGTTCGAGAGACAGTCAAAGTGTTTCCGCCAGACCTGCATTATGTCTGCAGTCTGGGTGCAGGTAGCGCCTGAACTACCATCGATCAGTGTCCTTAGTGTCTCCAATCTCGGTCCCTACACCGCCTTCAAGGAGTCAAAGAACTCCTTTTGTTGGCGGCGTTCGGCGTAACATTCCATCTGCTTAGCCTTCTCCGTCCACCAGGCATTTTTATGCGACGGAGCTCTCGGGTCAGTTGCCATCGAAGTCTGCGAAACTGATTCTTCTTCCCAAGTCAGTGGGGTCTGCCAAATGTGCAGCAAATGCTGCATTCATCTCCGACACCAATGCGCCGATCGTCGCATGGTTCTCATCAAACAAATCAGGCCGCTTACAGTTTGCGCGCCCGATGGTCTCCTCGGCAGCAGCTGTCACCTGGTCGCGAATGTGGTGCCACAGGTCGCCCACTGTGGCTACGCAGTCCACATCACACAGGCGTGCAGCCATCGCCTTCTCCAGCTCAATACGTTTCTCCACAGTACCGACGGAGACAATGTTAAATTTACGTCGGTACCCGGCAGGAGTGCAATACATCGATCTAGGATAATATATCGACGGTTTGATTCGCACAAATTTGTGATCGGTGCCACACTCAGCTCCGCGCAATACACGTGTCATGCGCACTTCACGCAT